TGTTGTGTGCCCACAAGTCAACCCCGACTCTTAGGGAGTGGAGCGGCCCTAGGGGGCTCCCTGGGCTGTGATCTTTCTGGGGGCCGAATGCCAGGTCTTGTCTTCAGCAGAGCAGGCTGGTTGAACCACCCACCTTTCAGGGAGCAGTCAAACGCTTTAACCATCCTGTCCCTAGGATCCTTATATACTGAAAATTTATAACAAAATCCCACTTTCTAGGGTCTGCTTTTCATCAAGAAGTAAAGAAATTCTGCACAGACCTAGAGCACCACAACAAAAGGTACCGGTAGCGGGGAGTCGCTGTGGGAAGTAGTGTCCTCTGCCCGGCACTGGAGCTTCTTTGGGGCACTCGCCTCACTCAGCCCAGCTCCCTCTCTCTCTGGCTGCAGCAGCCTTGCCTTCTGGGATGTATCTCCAACTCCAGCACCTGCAGCTCCTTCTCAACAAAACCTCGTGGCTCTCAGAGCTCAGCCCCACAGCACTCCACAGAGGGCACACGGAATGACGCTGATACTCCATCGCCATGTAGACACAGGCGTATGAAAACAGTACTACGGAAATAATGGTCCACTAGCACACTGACTAACAAGCCGTGAGTTACCTTAAATGAAGAATTCAATTTCTTATCTCTTCCTGGGAATCTTGAAACACAAAAAGTGTGGCATGGAAGAAAGAGCCAGAGCACCTATCAGTGCGTAGCTCTAAATCCAGGTTCATTCCAAGTGTGTCTTTGGGTCACTCTCTAACCCTCCCTGAGCCTCAGCTTCCTTACATGTACCAAACTTAAAATCAAACTCACTACCATTGAGTCCAAACTGACTCATAGCAACCTTATCGGACAGACCAGAACTGCCCCTGTGAGTTTCTATAACTGTTTGCTCCCGAGGAGCAGCTGGTGGTTTTGAACTGCCAGCCTTTCAGATCGCAGCCCAACTCAGAACCACTACGCCACCAGTGTACGTGGGGATATTGTTACCGCAACTCAGACACAGTAGTACATCCATTTTTAAGTTACAATATGCCTATTGGTTTATATAAAGGGGCTTCAGAACATTTTGGGGAAATGGAATGATAAAAATTTAAAATCACAAACTTGATTTCTCAACATAAGCTCCAACACACTTCTGTAGGTGATGATACCAGCCATATAGTCTGCCCCTAAAATACTGAGGGTCCTGGAGATTTAACTATGTCAA